AGAGTCTCCAACTCATAGATCCATACTTCTAGGGACTATCCCCCACGTAAAGTGGCAAACTTTATGTGTAGATTAAGAGATCTAGGCTCCAAAACACACTAAATTAGGGTTTATGGCAAACATGCTTCTTCAACATGCCAAGGGCTGATACTTTAGGGGTTCGAGACCAAAACCAACATGGATCTGAGGTAGCAACCTCAGATCTGAACCTCCATCTCGGATTGGTTACATAACAAACCAACAATGACCAAAACTCACATAAAAGAATGGATCTAGGTGCAAAAAGGGAGTCCAAACAACAGCTTATTACCTCCAACTGGTCTGAAATGTCATCTCAACCTCGGATCTACAGTCCCTTCATGCACCTCCTAGGCTTTTCTTCCTTCTCCATGCTTTAGTGCACTCTACAAGGCAAGATCTAGCTCAAAAACGGATATGGCGGCTAGGGTTTGGTGTTCTAGGGCAGAGAGGCAGTGAAGGAACCAAAGGAAGGATAATGAGACGCTTATATAGGCTCCAAGTCCCGAATTTAGGGTTTTCCTCGTTCAGACCCAACTCGTCGAGTCTCCTTGGCCGACTCGCCGTGTCGGTCGCTTACACCTCGACCCGGATCCTGCTCGGACTCGCCGAGTCTCTCCTTAAAATTGAGGTTTTCTTTCTTTTCTTGACTTTCCAAACTTTGGGGTGTTACAGAAGATCTTCTAGTTTCACCGAAGAAGTACTACTCTTAGAGCCGTAGTGTTGTCCAATGATCTTCTGATCAAGTGAGTGTATAGTCCCTTTCATAACACGATTTTAATACAAGTATTGTTTGAATGTATTAAGTATATGCTTGGTGTGAGTGTGTATTTACTTTCTTCTAACACATAGATATTAAGTATTTGCTATGAAATACGTGTTATGTGTTTATATATTGTTTGTTTATTTGAGATGAATGTTTTATACAGGTTTGTATATGATTTAAACTATATATGTAATTTATATATACAAATATGTTTGGTAGAACATGGGTAGATGAAATAGTTGGTGTGTGATGAAATAATGTGATAAGAGATAGGTGAGGATATAATGGTGATGATAATTAGGTGATGACAGATAGGTAATGAATTACGAGTCCAAGCGATGTTGTGTCTGCATATTCATGCGATGATAGTCTAACCCTTATTATGAATTACGAGTCCATGTGATGTTATGGCTGCGTATTCATGCGATGATACTCTAACCCTTATTATGAAGTATGAGTCCATACGATGTTGTGGCTGCGTATTCATGCGATGATAGTCTAACCATTATTATGATTTACGGGTCCATGTGATGTTGTGGCTGCGTAATCATGCGATGATACCCTAACCCTTACTAGACACATATTGAGGGAGTGATCCCCGAATTTGTATTGTCTATCCGATGTAGGCGATGATCCTTAGGAAAAGTTCTTAGGAACAAACATATAAGGAAATAAGATGTAAGGAGATGAGAGGTAAATATGATATAGGAGATGACCCTTAGGATAATATCTTTAGGGGAGATTAAACGAAGATAATGGGAATGGTTAATTGGGTTGATTGTTTGATGATTAAATATAATAATTATATTATTGTGGGTTGAAAACCTTATATGCTCACCAGACTCCCAAGCCTGACCCACTCAGTTTTTTTTGCATTACAGGTAATGGCACAAGGGTATAAGTTGCTAGACTTGACGAGAGATTTGGTATTATAGATCATTAGTTATAAATTACTGTTGTAACGTTTATTTTATATTGTTTATGCTTTTGATCTGTATCGGAACATGACATCCCGATATTTGTTATTTAATGAAAATACATTTCGTTAAGAAATGCTTTGATAAATTTTATTTTATCATATTTTATTTTGGGAACAAATTTCGCAACTCTTTTAATCAAAGGATTACTATGATTTTATAAAACAAAGCATAAACAAATCGGTCTTTTTTGGCCGTGAAAATGGGGATGTCACAGTTTACTCCCGTAAACCCATGGCAAACTCCCCAAATCTGTGTGTTAAGGTCCTTAGCTCAAATGTGAAGGGTTCTACTTCAAGTCCTAAGCCTTAGGGCATCTATGCAACCTTCTATAGAGTTTACGGCCTTGGGAGGTATCCTGACCGTAAACTCCATTCCATTCAAGATTACTTGATATTTCTAAGGTTTAAAAAAGATCAATCTAGTATACCACAAGCTAGGACAAGATTAGTTACAATATAGGTTTGGGTATTTAAGGTCCAAGAACATTAGTGTGTGTTCTTGGTGTTTTGAAGAACACTTGAAGATCTAGGTAAAAGAAAAGATTTCATGGATGAAATCATTAGTATTCACTAGATATGTAAGGATATCAAGAAGAAAATGGGAAGATCACTTACTAGATTGAAGTTTAGAATGAATGATGTTGATGATACTTAAGAGTAAACCCAAATTCTAGACTTGAAATGGTAACAATGGATGAAAATGGCCAAGTTTCTCTTATATAGGCATGGAGTTTACGGCCCCATGAGTTTACGGCCTTAAACTGATGGTCTCATGGCCGTAAACTCCTCCTTTGAAGGTTTAAGGCTTGCTTGATGGTTTGTCTAGTTGACTGTAATAACTCATGTCAATATATATAATCAAATTATATAACCATAATTATAATAAAATCATCATGCTCAAAATTAATGGGTTAATTATATGCAAATTATGAGGTATTATGTCTAGAAACTGTTATCCAAGATTAAGCCATAAAATCGAGCAAATGAAAGGTTTTCATCAATTATACACTTAGGCATTATAAGTAGCACGAAAAATCGAGTGGAATCCCCACATAAATTTTGATAATCGACTTAGAATTGAGGGAGAAATCAAAGGAGGAAGTTCGTAAAGCATTTTCGGAGTTGTGTTCAAAATCAAGGTATAAACCTTCAATTTTCAGCTCGTGATAATTGTTAGAGTATTAATATAAGGTCGTTCTGTGTGTTTTGGTTCCACCTAGGGTCTCGACTTGGCTACAATACTAAAAATTGATGAGAATTTTTGAAATGTCATTCTAGTTGGAATAGAATGTTAATCTAGCTTAATTTGGATATGTTTCTGATAATTTATTCTGAAAATAAGTTAGTAGGTTGCGAAGATAATCGATGGTAGAATTAATTATTTAATTGGTATACTTTTTCGGAGTTTTTTTAAGGTTTAAAAATAGCTGAAAATGAGTTTTTATTCGGGAAGAGAAGACAAGAAGCTGGGTCTTAGTCTTTTGCAGGTCACGCTGGTTTTTAAAGATGTATTAAACAATTTTTTTTTTTTCTCTATTATTATTATTATTATTATTATTATTATTATTATTATTATTATTATTATTATTATTATTATTATGGTTCCGTTTCGTCAGTAGTTCTACTCACTCACTTTTCTTTCAATTGAAGCAATATTTACATAAACAGTGCTTATATTTTTGACAAGATCACAGAATTTATTTTCTAAGATAAACGTTGTATTTCATATATATATATATATATATATATATATATATATATATATATATATATATATATATATATATATATATATATATATATATATATATATATATAGGTTACGGAAATGGACCTGCAGTTTCAACGATTTGAAAATCAAATTGATTTATTTATTTTGTTTGGCTTTTAGGTATTAACTTTAACATTGAAACTTTAACTTCAAAATAAGATATCATATTTGTTCTAAAATTATTACGAATTTTGTAATTAACATAATTGGATGGTTATTTGTTGGCCGAACCAGATACGTGGATAGTGGCACTAAAACGAACATATAGGATGCTTTTCTAAGATTGAAGTCATAGAAAATATATGTTGGTTAAATGTAAGGTGCGTGTAGCGTGAGAAGCTTGGTTAAGACCTACGCCAACAGGTTGAGTTTCGTGTGAATTTTGTGGTTGCTTGCATGAAAAGTTGATGTTAATTTATTTGAAATTACATTTTACCGTTGTTATTGCTATGAATATTTGTTTGAATTTTATGAACTATTTCATATAAAATGGTGAAAACGGTGGGTGACATATATTTAGAGAAAATATGTATTAACTACACAGTCTTATTAGTAGTCGTCGTATAGGGTGTCATTACACGGTGGAGAGCCTACGCTCTGATTAATTAGCCGTAAGCATATTTGTTGTGCCCGCGCGGGGGGACTTGTTCCCTGAAAATGATAGTAGTTCTCTAATATGTCACCAAGGTTGGTAAGAAATGAAACGAATTATTTAATAAATTGTTGCATTTGTTTTTATTTTATTAATGTCAATATGCATGAAAACCACGAACTCACTTGGGCCTAGGCTTACCCATTAGAATCTTTAAATGCACGTAACCCAGGAAATAACATAGCAAGTGGCAGCGGGAATGGAAATGATAAAGTTCAGACTTGAAGAAGGCGACAAGTTTTGAGGAAGACGTAGTGCACCAAGTGTTTACTAAAATTTCTTTTTGCTTCCGCTATTATTACTAATAATTACATTAGTATTCGAATCTTGAATTTTGGAAGTTTTGGGACTATGTTAAGTTATATTGGTATTTGAAATTTGGGGCGTTACAAGTTGGTATCAGAGCCTGGTTTAAGCAGATTAGTCATTGTTTAAACGTCTAAGCTTAAACCGGAGGAGCGGTACATCGCCTAATCTGGAATGTGTCTCGTTTGTAGGTACTATGGATCATGGAAAGGCAATCATCGATGGTGGGGTGTCAGTTGAGGGTGCTGGTGGGTTACTTTCCCACGAGAAGTTGAAGGCCGAGTTAGAGCTCTCTGATTCGGAAGGCAGTCTAGAACCAACGACTGCACTCAGCCTCTCAAAATAGGATGAAGAAGACGAGGATGTGGAATCCGAGGTGGAGCCCAATGAAGATCTTGAGGAGGAGCCCGAAGAAGACCTTGATTAGGAACCCAAAGAAGACCCCGAGGGAAAACCCGAGGGAAATCACGTAGAGTACCATGTGGAACAAAGATACGAAACGTTCCATATGCCCTTTGTGGAGTACACGCCAAAGAGTTTTGTTACCTATTGGGAGCGACTTTATAAAGATGAAATGCCACAGGCACAACTCGAGATTCACAGTTTGAAAAGAAAGATTGAAGAGATAGATGAGCATAGGTCAAGGCTCGTACAGGAGAACCAAATACGTGTTGAGGCCGCTGAGAAAAGTAAGCGCAAGATACGAAGGTTAGAACATGAGGTATTAGAGCTAAGGAAACCCAATATCACTAATTTGTGGGAAGGGTTTGTGGCTCAGGCAAAACAAGTCAAGGCCACAACTTACAGATTCCTAGATAAGGTGGTTGGAAGAGACCCACCTCAGGCCGAGGTGCTGGTCATTCAAAGTGGTCCCGGGGATCGAAAAGCTAAAAAGATAAGGAAGTACTTGAAGGAGGGAAAGAGAATATTGAAATATGATGACATCATTTTTAAAAAGTAGAAAGTAGGAGTGCAATGATTTTTTTTTATTTCTCTTGGTTGTTGGCTTGAGTGACTTGATGTGAACAAGACATATGTCTATTTTTGAAGTTTTAATAATTTGGAATAAAATTTATGTTTGCTATACTTATTGTGTTATAAACATAAATATGTAGTTGATATGTCTTCACGAATATCTGGGAGGTTCACTAGGGTCACTCCGGAGGAAGAACGCATCCCAATTGGAGCTTATGTTAGAGCACCATGAGATGTTCCAAAAACCCTACTGATCCCAAACGCTAGTCGTGGACGGGTCCAAGGAAGAGGTAGGGGTAGAGGAAGAGGCAGAGGAGCTGTTGAAAGACCCCAACTTTTGTATTTTTGAAAGACCCAAACTTTCATATTTCACATTATCATTACTCCAAAACATGCTATTTGCATATTCATAAAAGCAATATTTTACATTGATATAAAGGATTTACAAACTATTGGATACAAACCTTCTATTACAAAGTGTTATATATATTACATAACTACCCAGGATATTGTAATTTATACAAACATAAAAAGTAGTACAAAATAGTCGGGCTTCTCGGGGGTCTCGGGGCGTGTTTCGGACTTTAAAAATGGTACCGGGGCTTCGAGAAAAGTCAAAATAGTCAAAATATAAGTTTAAGGGTGAAAAATGTCAATTTTCCAAAAATACTCGGGAAGGTTCGCAGCCCCCTTTATATAGGGTGCGAGCTTCGGATTCTGTGGCTGAGAAGCGACAACGTGGCTGCTGGAGTAAAGGACACGAAGTGAGAGGAGGGGAGAAGATGTGTACCTGCGAGCTGCGGACATCTGGCAGGATGGGCAAAGGCCACGAGGCCGCTGCGAGTCTCGGACGTGGCACCGGGAGCGAGGCGGGTTGGCGAGACGTGTCTCGCGTCGGACTGGCCACCGATGCGAGACGTGTCCCCTTACTGCTGGGCCTCGGCCTCGGCGAATCCTCTTGTGACACCTGCTGAGTTCGCATTCGGCCATGTCTCGGTGACGCTGCTGCTTCGTGCGAAGGTGACGTGGTCGGTACTGTTCATGCGAGTTTTCTCGGTGTTTGGGCCACGAACTTCTAAAATCCATAACTTTCGAATACAAGCTCCGTTTTTGACGTTCTTTATATTCATGCGTAGCTAAAATTACGCTCTACAACTTTCGTTTAGACTTCGTCGGCTAATTTTGACTTTAATTTTAATATTATTATTTTTAACAGACCGGGACATAAAAAATCCGTTAAAAATTCATAACTTCTTCATCCGACATCCGTTTTCGTCAGACTTTTTACTGTTGTACTACATATGACGAGACCTTCGATTCTCATTTAGGATGTATCGGTAGAATATCGCTCAATCTAAAATTCGAGTTTTTAGCTGTCTAGTGCTAAGTTGAAACTTTGAAAAATCATAACTTCCTCATACGATGTCAGATTTTAGCGTTCTTTTTATCGAATTTCTCGGTTTAACGAATACTACGACTTTCATTTAGATTACTAAGGCTAAAAAATAGTTTATTAAAAACTCACTTTTTACGTCATTCGGCGTCGCGCCGGTTTTATCGCGGATCTTCGGTTGGTCATAACTTCTTCGTTATAACTCGGATTTTGACGAGGTTTTCGTCTTCAAATTTCTAATGAGATTCTCTACAACATCAAATAATAAAATTTTACTTATTTAAAATTTCATATTTTCGCTAAATTTCACTATTTGGCTTTTAATTGGAATTTCGTAAGACTTCCATAATTTTTTGAGTGATTCTAAACATAGTTTTACTTCATTTCTAGTAAAAACCATCTGTTAGAACTCAACCATAATATTTCACAATTTTATTTATTACAAAACATGATTTTAGAACGTGTATGTTACAAATACCTCCTCCTTTTGAGGATTTCGTCCCCGAAATTACATCGATTAAAATAAATGGGGATATTTTGCTTTTATCTCATTCTTATTCTCCCAAGTATAGTTTGGGCCACGATGGTGTTTCCACTTGACAAGCACCAATTCTACTTCTTTATTGCGTAGCTTAGTTGTTCTTTCATTCACGATTTCATCAGGCTCTTCTACATATCTTAACTTATTATCCAATTTCACTTCGGATAATGGAACTGTCTCATCGTAGATGCTCAAGCATTTGCGCAGATAACTTACATGAAACACATCATGAATACCGCCAAATCTTCAGGCAATTCTAAGAGGTAAGCTTGCTTTCCAATTCTCTGGATGATTTTGAAAGGACCAACAAATCTAGGACTCAACTTTCCTTTCTTCCCAAATCGCATAAGGCCTTTCCATGGGGATACCTTCAGTATCACGAAATCACCCACTTGAAATTCTATAGGTCGTCTTCTCTTTTCTGTATAGGACTTTTGTCGATCCTGGGCCACTTTCATTCTTTCTCGTACGATTTGAATCTTGTCGGTGGTGTCTTGAATCATTTCAGGGCCTCCAAGGATCTTCTGTCCTACATCACGCCAACATAATGGCGTACGGCATTTGCAACCATATAATGCTTCATATGGTGGCATTTTGATTGAAGTGTGGTAACTGTTATTATACGAAAATTCAACAAGCGGTAAGTATTTATCCCAATTACCACCGAACTCCAAAACACATGCACGAAGCATATCTTCTAATGTCTGGATTGTTCTCTCTGTCTGACCATCTGTCTGAGGATGATAAGCGGTACTGAGAGCAACTCAAGATCCTAATTCGCATTGCATACTCGCCCAAAAGTGAGAAGTGAAGCGAGTATCGCGATCGGAAATGATCTCTAGTGGCACACCATGTCTTGCAATAATTTCATCTAAGTATACCTGTGCGTATTTCTCCATTGGATCCGTTTCACGCATAGCGAGAAAATGTGCACTCTTAGTCAGACGGTCGACGATTACCCAAATGCTATCATTCTGTTTAGCAGTCTTTGGCAATTTGGTAATAAAATCCATGGACAACTCTTCCCACTTCCATACAGGAACACTAAGGCTTTCTGGGGTTCTATAATGCTTTCGGTGTTCTGTTTTGACTTGTAAGCATACTAAGCATTCCTGTACATATCTTCCAATGTCTCTCTATAATCCAGGCCACCAATAATCAGCTCTTACATCATAGTACATTTTACTTGTGCCAGGATGTATTGATAGCTTAGATTTATAAGCTTCATCTAAAGTCTTCTCTCTTAATCCACCAATCTTTGGAATCCATAGCTGATTCTTAAATAGTTTTAATACTTGTGGATCATCAAGTAAAACATCGGCATAATGTACCATTCCTTCCTTCTTTACATTTTCTGGCTTTAAGGCTTCAACTTGCCATTTCTCTAGTTCATCAAGATTGGTGAACTTCCCGTAGTGTGAGTAATAGTATAACACATACTATTACGATAAACTTGTTGGATAAGGTGTCTAAGTCCATAACTTATTTGGTATATACTTCACCCGACCCAGTATGGTCCATTTGGGTTGCATTTCATCCAAACTATTTATGGATAATTTTATGAGAGTTATACACATATGATTATTAATATATTATAAGTTATAATATATTAATATGAAGTCATGTTATTTAATTAGTCTTAGTCTTAAATTAATTATGAATTAATTTAGAGATTAAAAGGAAGACTAATTAGATTGTGGGCTATTGATTTTATATGGTGTGGGCTAAAACCCATTTGTAAATGGGCTAGGCTTGTATGGAAGTCCATGGATGATCCATGGAGCTTTTAACCCATGGATACTTGGAAAAGGAAAGGTCATGGGTTATAGGGTTTCACCCTAATCATGTATACTATATAAGCATGCTTATGTTGCATGAAATAGCCACTAGTGTGTGTGCTTGTGTGTGGCCGAAAATTGTAGTGTGTATACACTCTCTCATAGTTTTCAAAGAGTTTGTGGTGATTTGTGATTCCATTTGAGGCATTCACACTATTGGTGCTTGGCCCTCAAACTCCTTAAGAATCAAACTCATCAAAAAGGTATGTAATCTCTTGTAACTCTTTTATGTTTAAAAGTACCCCATGCCATGTTAGATAGGTTATGAACCTTGGAAAATTATTATTTTTCATGTATTTAGACAAACATAGATCCAAGGTTTATTAGGGTTGCATGCACACTTAGGAAGTGTTAGATTGCTCAAAACCCAACAGTGGTATCAGAGCCTAGGCTTGCTTGTTTGATACTTGATGCAAAATAGTGAAAAAAGTTGAAATCTTCGTTGTCTGCATGATGGACTCACCGAGTCCATGGGGGGGACTCGACGAGTCCAAGGCAAAGTTCAACCTACTCGGCGAGTAGATTCGTGCACTCGGCGAGTAGAAGGTTCAGAATGCAGATTTTTGACTTTTGCTGCTGGAAATGGACTAGAAACTTTACCCCAAACTGTTTTGATGTTTTAAAACTTATTTTGGTTGGTTTAATGGTTCTTCTAATCCATTTACAATAGCATATATCAAAATTTCATGCTTTGTATGTGTTCATATAATTTTGAAACTTTGATAATCATGTTCATGTTCTTATGAATTTGGAAGATGATAAGAATTATTTGCTGAATTGTTTAGGATTAATTCTTGATCATTTATGTGTTTTAATGGAGTCCATAATTTGTTCTCAAGTTCTGGATATCCAAAGGTCACATTTCTTTAACACACATTAAAAACACATAAGTTACATAAAATGAAGAGTCTTCATTTTATGAACCTTTAATTCATAAGTTATGAAATGAAAAGTTTTGAAGAGTTACAAAACTTGTCCTCATGTTTTGGAATTTGGAAAAGTTTCACACACTTTAATAAACTTTAATTCCAACACTTAGAATTTTAAAAGTTAAAATTCAACACTTATACTATTTATAACATTAATGGTTATATATATATATATATATATATATATATATATATATATATATATATATATATATATATATATATATATAAGAACAAGTCGTTTTACCGTTAGTAGGCCTCATTCACGAAGCCGGTCTATAAGGT